TCTCTCTCTCTCTCGTTCTCTCTCTCTCTCTCTCTGTTTTCCCTATTCAGTGTCCCCTGCTTATGCATTTAAAAGCTTTAGGAATACCAATTCCCTAGCTTTTCCTTATCAGGTTGACAATATCAAACAGATGGTGGAGCCAGCACGCTCACTTCTAATTGCCTGAATGGGGGTAAGACGTGCTGTGCACAGTGTGTGGCTAAAAGCCTTCTCCTTTTAGGAAGGTAAGAGAACTCTAAAATTGTATCTTGCTAGTGATTTATATTTAGAAAGAGTAATGCGTTTTCCTGTCTGCTGAAAGGGACCCCATCCTTCTTGATTGCTTAAAAGCAACCTTCCTTTCTGAAAGTGTGAAAAGCAGTTTGGGGTTCTGCAGCATCTTGAGTAAAAGAGTAAGAGTCAAGAGATAACTGGACTTTTTTTTTAAGAGACAGATTTGTTCTTAGGAATAGATACTTAGAAAGTGGAGATAATACTTCTGTGTTTAAAACGTACTTAAAATAAGTAAAGTCATGCGGCTGTGTCTCTCACTATTTCTGTTTCTACCTTTTTAGATAATTGCAATGAAAGATGGCTACATCCAAAGAGAAGGAACACTCAAGGACATTCAGAAATCAGAGACTGAGCTCTTTGAACACTGGAAAACACTAATGAATCGACAGGACCAAGAACTGGAGAAGGTTTTTGATGGGCAGGGAATCAATATTTGCAAAAAAAGTGACAGTATTTTTAGGTTAAAAACATTAGGAAGAATTGATGTGCTGTGTTATTTCCCACTTAGAATGAATGCAGTATTACTATTATTGGTGCTGTTAGCATTATTATTTATGTATTTAAAGAAAATTCCTGCATCTAGACATCTTGCACCTTATCAATATTTTTGCCTCTGACTAATTCTCATTAGAGAAACCTTAAAATAATCTTCTTGCCAAAGGAATGCCAAATTGGGCCAGTTTAGTGGCAAAGAATTGGTGAAGTGCAGTTATGAAAACCATCTATAAGTGTGCCTGAATTTACTTACTGCATTGGGTAAAAAATTTTCAGGTGTACATAACTATATAGCAGACTCTAAATCATCAACATACTTTTTAATAATATGAGACAAGAAGACTGAGAGATTAATCTTATAGTTCTTATTAATTCAGGGATATCTGTTAAGACAGCAAGATTCTGAAAGAGTTGAGGTTATTATCCTGAAAATGATGTGGAATTTATACATAGATAGTAAATCAATTATTTATGACAATCTGCTCTTAGATTCTCATTTCTTTCCCACTGACATCTTGATTGGAAACAAGTCTTGTCACAGCTAGTAATTTTTTGATTCGTTTCTGATTTAAAAACACATGATCTGCCCCGTTTTTAGGAAACTATAATTGAAAGGAAAAGTGTTCTGGAAAGAACAAATCTCCGGAGGACTATGTACTCCCGTGAGGCTCTGCTGAAAGATGACGATGATGATGAAGGTAAAAAGACATCTTTGGGCCCATTAGCACTGCATTGCTGTTTTACAATTAAACTATACTGGAATGAATTAACATATTTCACCCTGGCCAAAAAAAGCTGTTTTTCAGTTACTCTGTTCAGGGTTGTGATTTGTAAGAATGCTGCTTCCCTTTGGTTTACCTCTGGAGTACAATGAGTTTCAGCACTCAGAAGTCATAACGTCCTCCAGATTTCTGAGTTGTTTTTCAAATATTTGAATCTTTTTAGCATTCCTAAGTGTTATCTTTAGCACAGTATTACTATGATGTTTGAGCAGATAGTTTTACCTTAAAACTGCCGCTTGCCAATTTCTACAAGAGATGCCTAAGAGGAATTCAGGGTGGCTGTACTTCTTCCTTGCCCATCGCAGAAGAAGCAACAGAAAGCGATGACGAGGACAACCTCTCGTCGGTGCTGCATCAGAGAGCCAAGATGCCCTGGAGAGCCTGTGGAA